GAACAGGAACCCTCAGGAAGGTGGATGCCTCCTTCCCAAAATCAATCACTGTCAGAAGGAGCCCTCACAGAATGAGGTGTGCACAGCAACCTGTCACCAGGGACTCTGAGTGGGGATATGGTGTCAGGAGCAATAAATAGACCCCAAAGAAGTCTGAGACCATAAACACATGGGGAAAAAGGTTCACAGAATCCTAGAATAGAACCCTAGAATATTCTCAGTTGGACTGATGGTCCTTGTGGGGCCCTTCCAACCCCTGTCCTTCCAACCCCTGAGCACCACTGGAGCTCTGGCAGCCCTGGTACCATTCCCTGGGGAGCCTGGGCAGTGCCCAGCAGCCTCTGGGGAAGAAACTCTTTCAATATCCAGTTTAAACTCCCCCAACACAGCTTTGTGGTAGTTCTGATGCACTCTTTTCCCTTGCACTCTGAGGACAGTTACATACAATGTCACAGGTGGGAGCATCCCGCAGCTCACACAATTATTCCAATAAGAAATATTATTTTTAATATTACTATGCGCTGCCATAGCACATGAGTTTGGCACCTTTTTGTTTTTAATAATTCCACAAAAAAAGCAGTTTACCTTTTCAGAGCTTTAGGACAGTCAGGTTTGAAAGTTATAAATACTTCAGCAGAGTAAGGGGAAGACAGACAAGCTAAAACACACATGACTTTCAGCTTCAGCATTTGGTCCAGAAGGACTAACAGTCTGTGCACAGCTGCATGGACAGCAGGCTAGAGATGACCAGGTTCTCCTGGAAAATTTAGAGCTATTGAGCAGAAGCATCTGTGCTGTACAAAGTCAGACATCCTGACACAACGAGCCATCAGCTCCTGTGCTGCAAAAAACTGAGCAGCCCCAGAGAGGCCCAGAGCTCTGCATTCCTACATTAACAGGTACTGAAGGAGGAATGTTTTTTAAAAACTCACCTGTTAGAGGAGTCCAGCCCAGCCCAATGGCTGGAAACTCAGACCCCAGAACCTGGATGCTGCAGCAAAATGAAACACTGACCATGCAAAATACAGCACAAGACAGATTTCTGCTGTTGGAGCATCTCCAGCACGAGGCAGTTGCTCCAAGGAAGTGGAGATTTAACATCATACACACATCCCTGCACAGGGAATCAGTGCTGAGTACAAGTCTGGCCCTGCTGTGTCTGCAGTCAGTGCTGCAGGGCTACTGGACCAACCCCAGACTTCTTGGTCTCAGCCTCATGAGCCCCAGGAAGAGAGGATTTAATTGATGGATCAGGTCAATGGCTACTCACAGACCTCAGCAATCATCATGACAGGCCAGAAGATGTACCAGTGAAAAGTTACACTGCAGCCTGGACACTGTGCCATTCTATATTGGGAAGTGAGAATCGGCCTTCTAACATTTCCCTAGGGTTCAAAGCCCCAGGGCATGGCTGGTGCTCAGTTAAGATCTGACAGAAAGAACAGTGTCCAATGAATGCTGGAATTCTCTTATGAAAATCCTGGATGTCCAAACATACTGTCCATAAACACAAGTACAGTGAGCAGCACAGCAGTGATCCAGTATTTGCCTGCTGACCCCCAGTGCTGATTCTCTCATCACAGTCAAGCAAAGCCAGAGCTGGAAGTGCTGAGGAGGGCACTACACCAGCTGGGAATGCACAGCCCAGCCCTCTACTCCTCCAGTATGACCAGGAGGAGCCCTGCATCCTTCTAATGCTCATTACTGTGCACAAGTTTCTCTGTACAGGGACTGAAAAAAAAGTAAAAAAAAAAAAAAACCAGAAAAAGAAGCTGTCACATCTCAAACAACAAACCAGACACACATCACACCTTTATCAATGGTTATAACCCATATGTACACAAACCCAATAGTTCCTGGTAAGGAATGTGAACTGACACTATGCTTTGCTGCTACTTTCACCTTTCTGTAATGTTCATCACTAGTGAGATAAAGGGTAGTCAGTCTGGAGGCTTCAAGGAGCTTCTCTACATTTTATAACCACAACCTAACACATGGAACACAGATTGTTCAATACTCTGCTGCATTTGAAGCAAAATGCAACAACACATGCAATGATCATCATAAAATATTTTGCTCAAACAAATCCAAACTTTGGCTTTCAAATCAGTTATTGAATTCCAGTAATCAGTCTCCAGACAGGTTATGCCAGTTCAATAAGTCATGAAAACTGCATTCCAAGCAGAAGTATTTTTTGGCCCACAAAAAATTGTCTGTTTAACAGACAATAACTTGGGAAGAAATGTATGTATCACTCAGTGTTTTACAAAAAGCAAGCATTATCAACTAAACGTTGATTTTAACTCTGCAAACACAAACAAAGGGAACTTCAAAGACAAAATACTCTGATTATTAAAACTTTATGGGGGCACAAAAAGCTATGACTTCATTGAAAAGAACTAAACTGATCTGAAAAGTCTAACACAAACAAAAGCAAAAGGTTCCCTCCCTCCTGCCCAGGCCACTCAACCCACTCTCCCTCACATGCCAATATTATGACTTATCTGACCAGAAACCAAGGTCAGGGAGCTGAACAGGTTTTTCTGCAGCTCCAGTTTCCTGCTGTCTGCCACAGGGTCAGAGAAATTCAAGTGGAGGCACAAGAAAAGCAGAACTGTGCCACAGGATTTTTCTGTTCAGGAACTGCTGCACATCCATGTGTTAAACAGAGAGTTTGAGAATAAAGAATATAATGTGAACATTAGGGGGCAGAAACAAAAGCAAGAGGAAGAAAAAAATGCTCAGAAAGAGCCAGTTATTTGGCACTGATACTCCAGAACTCTCAGTAAGCATGGAGATGACTGGTAACTGCTCCTAATAGTGTTGCAAGCAAGAGAAAAATTAGGTAGCAACAAAATTCAGTGGCGTGACCACAGCAGCCACACAGAATCCAGCACCTGCAACCACTTTAGAGGAAAGCCAATGTTCTATCCACAGGCACTCGAGGGCTCTCTGCAACAATAACAGCAATTTTACTTTTCATTCTTGAGGTTAAGAACAACCTTGAGCACGCAAGTGTATGTCCTGGACTTTAAACGACCCAGCACTGTCAAGTTCCAAAGTTAACCAGACTTTAGCAGAGTGTTTGATGCTACAGGTACCTGTGAAGCAGGGTCTCAACTTCAGAGACTGATTAGGGCCCCTGATTCCCACTAAAAATATCTTCCCCCCCCACAGGTGATTCTGTGCTTATTTTACAGTCTAAGGTGTGGGTCAGCTGTGACCTGCTATCATTAAGCAAGGGATCTTATTCCTTGCAAAACCAGCCTTCAGAGCAAGCCTCAACTTCTGAGTGCTGCAAAGCACATGCCAACATCTGGGACAAACACTCACCTAGCAAAACATTCAAAGAAATCAGTATTTATGTAACTATTTTACCATGACTGAACATATGCATCCCTTAAGTAGAGACACAGACAGAGACACCACAAGATACCTCATCTGTAAGACATCAGGAAAGGCAGAGGCATGGAAATCAGAGAGGCTACTCAGAAGGGAAATTCTGAAGTTTTTAATTATTCAGTTCTCATGGGTACTCTCAAGCAAATAAAGCACTGAAGATGACGCACAAAGAGCTCTCGTGCATTCCAGCAGCTCCCATGCAGCTTTCACAGACTGGGGAGTCTCCGTTAGGGATTAGATAACGATCAGTATCACTGGGCTCTGAAACACAACACTGAGCATGTGCAGCAGAGAACTGCACTGAGCTGCAGGCTGGGAACAAACACCAGAGCACAGCCGGTTCACAGCAAACACCAGGGCACAGCCAGTTACCATCACACACCAGGGCACAGCCAGTTACCATCACACACCAGAGCACAGCTGGTTCACAGCAAACACCAGGGCACAGCCAGTTACCAGCACACACCAGGGCACAGCCAGTTACCAGCACACACCAGAGCACAGCTAGTTCACAGCAAACACCAGGGCACAGCCAGTTACCAGCACACACCAGGGCACAGCCAGTTACCATCACACACCAGAGCACAGCTGGTTCACAGCAAACACCAGGGCACAGCCAGTTACCAGCACACAGAGCTAGTTACCAGCACACACCAGAGCACAGCCAGTTACCATCACACACCAGAGCACAGCCAGTTACCATCACACACCAGGGCACAGCCAGTTACCAGCACACACCAGTGCACAGTTACCAGCACACACCAGGGCACAGTTACCAGCACACACCAGGCCACAGCCAGTTACCAGCACACACCAGTGCACAGTTACCAGCACACACCAGGGCACAGCCAGTTACCAGCACACACCAGGGCACAGCCAGTTAACAGCACTTTTTTTTTCCCCTCCAGAAACAACCAAGTGCTCTCACTGAATCCAAGATTCTGCAAATTCTGAACAAGAATAGCCAAAACTAAATGAAGTATTTTAACAGTACAAGGATTAAAACGTCTTCAGAGAGCAGCTAAAACCTCCTGCAACTACCCAGACATGGAAGCAGTTGCTCTGTCAGCATTTGTTTTGCTTCAAGGAAACGTTCTCAGAACAATTCATTCCTCTCACATTTTAAAGCTACTACTACTAATCCTATTTAAGGAACTTACAAGTTAAATTCTGCAACAGTGATAAGACCTACAGCCACTTCAGAACTCCAGCACACCTCTATTTTACTGATCAAAATCAGAACAAAAGGTTTGTTTTTATATTCAGAGCTCTGGTGGAGTCAAAAACACTCAGACTGTAGGAAGAATAAATCAGCCAGGACTAAATCTAAACCAGTTTTAGACCTGTCTATTAATGTTCAAATATGGGAACTGTGTTTCTTAGAATTCTTAGCCACACAGACAGTAGTCATTAACTTAGCCTTGAGCATTCCATCCTCCCAGTACCCAATCCTGGCATTACTGGAGCTCCAGGCAAACGTGTCAATAGTTTGATTACACACACAAATATTTAGTATTTCTAGATTAAGTTGTATTTAATCAAGTATTTGCTCACCCAGTCTGGTAAAAGGTGACAATTTCTGAAACACTAAATCATACCTGCAACTTTGTCCCGAATGAGTTTTGCAGATTCCACTTCGCCGATGCTGCTGAACAGACTCCGTAATTCATCCTGTGTCATGTTCTGAGGAAGGTAGTTCACAATTAAATTTGTCCTACCAATATCATCCCTGCAATCTTCAGCCATGTGATCTTCATAACCATTGGACATTTTACAATAAATCTGCAAAGTGAAAAAAAATCCTCAGTGAGCTTTAGATCTTCACATTTCCATAAACCAAACTTCCTCCACCTGAAATAAGTTTGAATGTTTATTTTAAAAACTAAGAACAAACCACTGCCTCAGCAATGCATTTTTTCAACTCAGAAAACAAAACACTATTTGTTGAAAATTCCAGAACAATTCAATCTTTCAAAAGCACAAACATGACATTTTACAGAACTAAGTACCATTAAAGAGCTCTTTAGGATTTATATTTTTGTTACATTAATAAAAAGCATCAAGATAGATTTTGAAGACATTCCTGTAAATAACAAAATATTCCCAATAGCCAAGGTAAAAATCAGGTCCCTTATGTCCATGTCCAGGTACTTGACCAGCCACAACCAAACTGCCACCTCATTCTGAATCCCAACCTTATGCCCAGAACTTTTCAGACAGGAAGACAAGAAGCAGCAAGATCTGATCCAGTTCAGTGTTTCAACTGGAGACTATTAATTTTCTGAATGTTTTCCCCTGTAAACATTGTCCATCCTGCACCTCAAGGCCTTTTGCTGTTTAATGCTGCCTTTGGTGCTGCTTTACTGTGTGTATGAAACTGGTGATTCTGTGCTGCACACTGACTTGGGGGCATATTGAGTATTTGACAGTTTCTATTTTTGCAGCTTTTTAAAGGAAGCCTTGAGAAAACATGCAGAATTCCCATCACAGGAAGATACCTTTTGCCTCAGTTCACCATCAGGAACTGAATCCTGATGTTTTAGTTGACATCCAACTAGAACTCACACCAGACTCAAGCTGCTCATGGCTTGCCAAAATCCTACTTTTTAAAGCACTTCAATTGCTTTGAAATAGTCAAAATCAAGATATCGAAATCCTGTTTCTGCAACAGGATCCACAGATCTGCATCTGCTAAAGGATAAGCCTTTCCAGAGACTGCATCATGACTGACAGCCAGAAGGTGAATAATGGAAGAAGACAGAAACAGCAACCAAAAATCCTCAGTCTAGAAAGGAAATGCTCCCTGCATGAAGGGACTTCCAGGCCCCTCACCAGCAGCTGCTGTTAACTCATGTCTGACAGTGAAGGTCAAATTTTTAAACAAATACCTGAGCACATGATTATAGAATAAACCATTAATGCTAATTTGAGATTTAACACAGTATGGATTTGAACTGAATCTTTATCTTTTCAGTATGTGTTGAAGCATTAAGAGCTGGCAGCTCTTGCTCCCCTTCACCCACAGACCAGCTCCTACCCTCATTTTTGTGTTTCAAGTGTCAACACAAGCCTATTCCAGCACCCTCTGCCCATGGGATAACCAATCTGTACTGTGAAAGCAATGGAAAACCACACAGGAGGGAAGCCCTTTCTGTTGTGTCAGCAGTTTTAATCTGCTTTCCTTGCAGCAAGATAAGCACCAGCTAATGCCACAGGATAGGAGAGCAGGAGGAGGCACTGCAAAGCTGGAAGCAGGGGAAGAGACTCCCCTCAGCAAACAATTTTTAAGCTGCCAGGCTGTCTCAGTTGTACTGCAAATTCTGTCATTAAACACACGTTCCCTCCTGGCTGTGTCAGAACTTGCTGAGCACAATCTCAGAGAAGTTTCCTGCTCTGGTAAACAACACTCAAACAGCTGAACCGTTTGTGGTCACCATGGCTAAGTTATAAAACCATGCAACACACATTTTCAGAATTATTTGAATAGAAGGCAGCTTTGCTTGCCTTTGCACTCCACAAAACTCAAGCCCTACAAACAGAACACACCAATACGTTGATAAGTGAAAATTGTATGGCACAACTAGAATATTTAGTAAGCAAAGGAAGAAATGTTGAGATTTTTCCACCTATAAGAGGAAAAAGTTAACATTTCCTTCATTTTAACCAACTTTGCCCTTTATTGCCATTTATTTATGATATAAATCCTTCCTGCTGCTGAGATTAAGAAATCGCTATATTCTACTGATTTCAAGAACAGATATTTAAAAGATTGGGGTTTTGGGGTTTTTTTAATTCTCCAGGGTGTATCTGCTGCCTGAAGAGGAGGCACTACACTGCAGAGAATACCACCAAGCAGAGAAAACTTCCCAGCACACCAGGATGGCAAGTTACCACACTTATATCTGCCATAAAGCAGAATTGCCAGGAGTTTGGCAAGTGGCTGCTGACTTTCCATCACTGTCCCACATCCTCTAACCCTCTGCAGTGCTCACAGTCTGCACCTCCCAGGATACTCAAGCAGTGCCTGGGGCAGGGCTGATTCAGAGCCATCACAAGGTGGGAATGAAGCTTCCACCTGCTTTTCTTCAGGCTTTTAGAAAGCAAACATAGGAAGCCCTTGCATACAGGCCTGGCAAAGGTTTCCATGGGACACCAGGAACCAAGCATGCAGGAGCAATAAAGGCACAGTGAAGAGGTAGAGGAGCAGAGTGCTGAGAGAGAAGATGCTTCTTTCTTCCAAAGCTCTTGCTGAGCACTTCCACAATCACCTGCAGGACTAACACTGTCCAGCCAGCTTGGAAGCCAGTGGGCACCACATCCTCTGCTGGTGAGGTGTTAAGGAAACTGCAGCATTCCACCGGTCTGATGCCACTCTGGGGTGCCACTGTCAGCACACTGGCACTGCTGGGGTCACAGCCCCTTGGCAGCAGAGGCTGCAGTGACCCCACGGGCCCCGTGGGGGTCCCTGCAACCTCACAGGCCCCATGTGAGTCCCTGCAACCCCACAGGCCCCGTGGGGGTCCCTGCAACCTCACAGGCCCCGTGTGGGTCCCTGCAACCTCACAGGCCCCGTGTGGGTCCCTGCAACCTCACAGGCCCCGTGGGGGTCCCTGCACGCCCCACAGGCCCCCAGTAACACCAGCTCCTCTCACCAGCTCAGCCCCGCGTTCCCACAGCACAGCCCCAGTTCCTCTGTGGTGCAGGGACACAGAACAGCTGAGCTGGTGCCCTGGGGGGACCCCAGACAAAGCCCCCCAGGGCTGTGCCCATCCTGATGCTGATGTTTAGTCCAGGGTCTTCTGAATGTGTCAGGAGAGGTTTAGGTTGCATATTAGGAAAAGGTTCTGGAAGGGGCTCCCCAGGGAAATGGTCATGGCCCCAACTCTGTCAGAGCTGAAGAACCTGCAGCTCACACTGCTGCTGCCAACCTGCACCAGGTGTATTCCTCAACAGTTTCTCATGCCAGCAAAGTTAAAAAGAGCCCCTGAAGAATTGTAACCTCTGCATTCCGAAAAGATTTCCAAAAAGAAAAGGAGCTGTAAGATAGGATGGATGAAACAAGCAATGCTACACTGGAAAACAAGTTTTTATTCTGCTCTCACTGAAATCCGCTGAGGGAATGTCCTGATCTTTGTCTACCAAAGAGATAACAATCCATTTCTATCAAGTAAATATTCCAGATTTGAGAACCAGGTCTATACACTTATTTGCAAGTGAGAACTTGGTTAACCAACGTTTATCAATCCACAATGCCATAAATCAAAAGACTGAATGCATTTATATTCCCAGTGCACAGGTCAATGATGGCAAGAAATCCCAACAGCTCCATCTGGGAAGGCTGACTGAAAAGAGACTGGTAGTTTGCAACCTTTCCAAAACAAGCCTTCATTTCTACGTCCCAAAAAACTAAAACTTTAAGACTAGGTTCCACTGCACTGCACTTCCCAAAATGACAATTTTTTTAAAATAACCAAATGCTACAGAAGCTTGTTTGGAAAGGCAGCAGCCACCTTCTTCCTTGGGAAAGATGCCCCAAAATTAAAATGCCAAGGGTGCACAAAGTAACAAAGGGAATCATATGTGCTGTGCCTGAATCTTCCACTGATTCTGGAGGTGCTCAAATCCACACAGCCTAACACTTCACCACCTGTGCCAACGAACTGCTCAGGCATCCTCTCCCAGGCCAGCATTCCCAGGACTGGATTGAAAAGCTCTCATGAGCATAATTTGCAGAAATTATTGCTGGCCATGGCTGCACTGACCATGACAATCACCTTCTCACAAAAACACACCAGATCACACAGGTTTAATGGTTCTGGCAACAGAGCAATAACAGTTTTTTCCCAATGACACTCTGTACCTCCATCCAGAATTCTAGCAATCACTGCTATTAATTGTTTCACTGCAAGATGTTTGCTAAGAAGGGAGATCCGTATGGAACTGTGGAGATCATGTGAAATGAAAACACTGGCAAGAACTGTCTACCTTCAACATCAGGCAAGAGGCTTTGTCCACCTTCACCTTGTTCACAGGACTAAAAAGGCACCAGACCACTACTGAGGTCACAAATTCATATGCAGACACCTAAACAGATGCTTACAGAATGCCAGGATAGCTGGGTTGGAAGGAACCTTAGAGACCAGTTCATTCCACCCCCTGCCATGGCAGGGACACCTCCCACCATCCCAGGCTGCTCCAAGCCCTGTCCAGCCTGGCCTTGGGCACTGCCAGGGATCCAGGGGCAGCCCCAGCTGCTCTGGGAAATCCATTCCAGGGATGGATTCCACAATTCCTGATTCCCAATCTCCCATCCAGCCTTGCCCTGTGGCAGTGGGAGCCATCCCTGTGTCCTGTCCCTGCAGGCCTTGTCCCCAGTCCCTCTGCAGCTCTCCTGGAGCCCCTTCAGGCCCCAAAAGGGGCTCTGAGGTGTCCCTGGAGCCTTCTCCTGTCCAGGTGAGCAGGCCCAGCTGTGCCAGGCTGGCTCCAGAGCAGAGGGGCTCCAGCCCTCAAAGCACTTCCGTGCCTCCTCTGGTCTCACTCCAACAGGTGCATGCCTTGCTTCTGCTGGGGTCCCCAGAGATGGAGGCAGCTCTTCAGGTGGGATGGATGATGGATCAGCTAGTGCAGAACTTAAGATGGGAAATTCTTCCTGGATCAATGATTTCTGAGGCACAGAGCTCATGGCACTTTGACTGAAGCACTGGGAATGGGCCACAGTGAGCACAGCATGGTCCTTACACCATGCACACCTGGAGCTGCTGACCCAGCTACTCACCCAAA